AATCAACATAGGCAAATAATTACATGTTATCTTATGACAATTAATTAGCATAAATAATCTCATTTTGGCATCAAGAGTGTACATACCCTCAAACGGCCGAGAGGGTTTCCCCTCTTGGCCGTCAAGAATGTGGTCTCGCGGTCGGGAGGAATCCTCCTGGCCGCTGCTGTGGGGTGGGGGTTGATTTGGTTTATTGACCCCCAAACCCTGGTCGGTTTGGGAGTCGATCCTCCCAAACCAACCGGGGTTTTTTATTTATTTTTATTTAAATTGTTAGGGAGTCGACGGTTTTGGGGGATCAACTCCCTAATTTTGGGGGTTTCGGGGTTTGGGAGTTGGCTCTCCAATTTTGGGGAGTCAATCAACTAAGCCCCTATTTTTATTTCATTGCTTTATGTATAGGGCCTTGGTTAATTGACTCTCAAATTTGGGAGTCATTGGGAGGACTGCTTGGGGACAGTCCCAGGATGTCCCCAGTCAGGTGGCAAGTGGGGCCGGGTTATGAGGTGGGTTTGCGTAGGAGTTAGTGAAATTTTGACCCAACCCGGACCAACCCGGCTCCTTCTCAGGTCGGGTTTGGGCAAGTACTGCAGACTTTGGGTCAGCCTTGGGTAGACCCAAAAACCCAACTAGGGGTTAGGTTCATTTGTGATTAGTGTAGTTGTCAAGGAGCCAGTTTGGTGCCTGACATTGAGTCAAGGGGCCAGTCAGGTGCCTGGCTCAGCTGCATTGCTCCCCTCCTGCATTCAATTCCCCTTCTTGACCGTAATGTTTCTTGAAAATTTTGATCATGTTGGACCAAACTGAAACAGACTGCAATCCCAAAAAGTAAGCTATAAGAGCCTCACCAAATCAACCCAAGTGCCGACCCAGTCCAACCCACACCCAATTCACTTTCAATAGATTCGGGTTTGGGCAGCATTTTTCACAATGTAACCCGATGTGGTGGCGAGAGCGCGTCTTGACCAAAGCTTTGGCCGGTTTGTTTGGGCGCATGCGGAAAGCTCGCGGCTGATGCGGAAAGCATGCTGAGCTGACACTACACACACGCATACTGAGGAAATTGTTGAGCTCTCTATGTTGTGTAGTTTACATAGCCGCTATCTTTTCATGCTTCTTCCTCTTTTTCTCTTTTCACATGTCACACCTTGTGACATTCACTGTGTTTTCATTTCTCTCTTATACTGGAGACAACTGAGTTGGAAAGGATCTCTTTTCTTCATCCTTTCCAAACTCATTGTCTCCAGGTCAGTTCTTTCTCTTTTGTTTCTTCTTCTCTTTCTCTCAGTGAAATGACACTCATCCTTTCCAACCTCATTGTCTCCAGGGTGTCCATTCCAACAGAAAGCGGTGTAAGACTCAAAAAGTGGTTGTAAGACCCTTTTTGCTGAATGGAGAAGGGGATGGTGGAGGTGCAAGCTCTGCCCTTCTATACTATCAGATAACAAGACCCACCAAGCTCAGCTTGGCAAGTTTTAATCAAGTGATAGGGTAAGTTCAGGAATGAGTTTGTGTGATGCTGAGAAATGAGTTTAGTTGTTATTGGTGTTTGGTAAGGTTCTGTAAAGGTGGTGTATCTTTGATTGAGTGGTACTAAACTATGACTCATGAATAATACACTGAGGAGACAACAACTGGGAGGAGAGCCTCCTTATATAGAAAATAGTGGGGGAATTTAGCTCCAGGGTAGCCAGTAATGAGTGATTTTGGCTGGCCTGGGCTATTACATGAGGTATTTTAGCTACATACAAAATTTGAATGAGTGAATGTGATTGGTCAGATATGTACAAGAGTTGAAGTGGTGAGCCAAACAGTTGAAAGAGTGATTCTGATTGGTCAGGTTCTGATGTGTTTACAAGTGAGTGTGGTGGTGTAAGCTGCAGCTGTCATGCAAGGAAAATACACTAATTTAGGCTGCAGGTATGATGTAATATGTAGAAGTGAAAGAGAAATATCTGTATGTAAATGAGTGTATATGTAAATGAGTGTGTACTGTACTGAGGGTGTCTGTGTAGCTTGAGGGTTGTAATTGGGTTTGGTGATATGTAATTATGGGTGAAATCCTTGTGATATGTTGTCCATTTTTGGGTAAGAGTTGATCCAGGTGTGTTCCAGTGACGCCTCCGTGGTGACCAAGGGTGAATTTTTCCGTAGATTCCAGTTCTTGAGCCGTATGGTGTGATTTCTGAGAGTGATTGGGTGATAATATGAAGAAAAAATATATATAACAAAAGAAATAAAAAAGTTTGAATTTTTCACATTTTTGACTACCACAGCGGCGGTGCATTAGCGGAAAGTCTATCTTTCCGAGGCGCGGGAAAGTGGGGGAAAGCAGGCTGAATGCGCAATGTTCCAAAAAGCTTGCTGCGGGGAATCCGGGCACTGGCGGACGCCGGAGTCACGGCCGACTGCGGAATGAGGGTTTCAGTGTATACTGCGGAGGGGCTACAAGGAGCGGGGGCACCGAGGGGCGGAAGCGGGGTTTGGAGCGAGCCAGAGGCGGAAGCGGCGGTGAGAGACCTGTCCATGGGCGGCCGGAGGAGAAACTGGACCGACAGGCGTCGGAGGGAGGTGACAAGCGGAGTCCGAGGGAGTGACAACAGACAACATCGTGGGAGGCAGGAGGAAACTTGAGCGCGGGATAATTGGGAAGAGTGGAGTTTGGAGCAGAAGAGAGAGAGGAAGGGGAGACTTATGACCCAGAACATATCAGAAAAACAGAGTGACTTAGGAGTGAATCGTGTATTAGCCAAAAGAATTGTTAGAGATTAAGAGTTAGAGTTTTACCTACCAAAAGTCAATAAAAGAATAGTTATTTTACCTACCTACAAGACCATCAAGCAAGTTACCCCGGACAACAAAACCGGATTAAGACGTGTTGCGGAGCGGAGAAGTGCAAGAAATCTCCGAGGGCGTGCCTTACTTTCCACACCAACCTGCCCCAACCCGCATTTCTTATTGGGTTGGGTTTGGGCAACAGTGGGCCGCTACGCTACACTACGCTATTTGACCACTAACTGTTAGTGTAGTCAACGGTGGGCCAGCTACGCTAACCGTAGCGTTAGCGTAGCATAGTGTAGCGAAAAACCGCTAAAATTTAGCGTAGCGTTAGCGCTTTTCTCATTTTCTGCGCTAACGCTACGCGCATGGGGAAAAAACTTGCGCTAGCGTTTAGCGTAGCGTTAGCGCAATTCCCCCCATCTGCGCTAACGCTACGCACGCAGGGCGCAAAAAACCGCCCGCTATGCTGCGCTACAGCAGTTTTTAGCGGTTTTTAGGCGTTTTTTGCCGCTAAAAACGCTGTAGCGTAGCGTAACGCAGCGTAGCGGCGCCAGAGGCGCGCTAACACTACACCAAAAATTGGCAAGTGTTAGCGCCGCTACGAATTAGCGTAGCGCAGCGGCCGTAGCGGCGCGCTAACACTACGCGAAAAAAAAGAAAAAATGGCGCCGCTACGCTAACGCTACATGGGCCCGTAGCGTAGTGTAGCGTAGCGGCCCACCGCTGGTGTAGTGGTCTTTTTATTTCCTGGAAATTCTGTAGTGTTAGCTGATGCTAAACCCCACTACGCTAACTGTTAGTGTAGTGTAAATTTTTCTCTCAAATTTTTTGGTAGTGTTAGCTTCAAATAATCTCAGCTAAACTAACAGTTAGTGTAACTTTTTTTGCGCTAACAAAATTTTTACCGTCAGATAGTGTAACTGATTTGAAGCTAACATTTAGTGTAACTTATACCAAATTAAGTTACGCTACACTACATGTCTAGTTACACTACGCTACAGTAGAAGTTACACTACACATGTAGTGTAGTGTAAATCATCAATTAGAGAAATTGACATGTCAAGTGAGAATTTCATGCTCTGGAACCCTCTTCCTCTGCTTTCTGTTTTCAATGAACAAGTTGTGTGAACTGTCCATATAACTGATACGGCCAAGGTCCATAGTGACGATTTTCAATGTCCTATGATCACACACAATCCCGCAGAAAATGAACAGC